TCAATTTTCCCGATGTTAATTGTTCCATCGGCATTCTTATCTTCGTCCGACAGTAAACTGAGTAGATTGATGTCAATGTCCTTTATTTTATCTGAGTTTTCTTCGTCCGATTGAATATCATTTAAGTTTGCATTTTCAAAGGTTTCCGGTTCAAAAACATTATCTATAAAATCCATTGATGCAGGAAAATCATCGTCATAATTGAAAAAATCGGGCGGGTCATTGAAAACTTTGATATCTTCCAGAATTTCATTTTGTTTAAAAGTGTTTTCACTTTCTATATGGAATGACTCTTCTGCCTTTATGTCGACAATTTGTGCTATCAAATACTGTTGAGCTTGTGTCACTTTCTCAGCAAACGCCCAACTTTCTTCCAAACTTTTTAGGCATGCTTTGCAAATATTTTGCGGTAAATTGAATTGTTCGTAGGCATCGTATGACTTCCAACGACAGCAATCGATTAGCTTCTGTTTGATATTTAAAGACTGATCGTCAATGCTGCATACTAATTGTCTTGGCGTTTTCACATTTGCACACAATCGGCACACATTTGCCATGTTTTGCCAGAATATTTCCGAATTCTTTCTTGAATATTACCAAATATGAAAGGAAACTGCGATTATTGTTTATATTCGTTTAACTTTATTATATTTGACAGATGTCAGAAACCGTTTTAGGGTATGTTCGCGCATTGCGTATTCCGGTTCGTTAATTTTTAATTCAAATCTTATAGAGAACAGAGTGTATTCGAATATTATAACGAAAATAATGAACTTAAATTAAATGCAGTCATTGCAGTGTGTGGATACACCTTAATCAAAAAATACTTGGATATGTTTATGTCAATTTCCCTTTCCTTGTATAATGTTGTTTCATATCACTGCCAGTCAAACCTAAAATAAATAAAACCATTTGTGTTTTTTTTTCGCACTGATAGTCAATGAAAATAAAAAAAATAGAAAAAAAGATTTACGATGTTTCTGTCGAATGTGTTTCAAAATATTATGATCAGAACAGGTATAAGGGCAGTAATTACAATGATACGGTCGTTCATTCGTATGGATGCGTACATGATTCTGTAAATAATATGTAAATTTGTTGTATAAACTATAAAAAAAGGACATATATTTTGCACTTACTACCAAATTTTTCTTCTGTTTGAATTTTTTGCCGCAATGAGAGCATAAATGCGGAAAGTAATCCAAATGAATCGTACTATGTCGCTTGAGTAAATCTTTTCGATTAAATTCTCGGCCGCACGTTTCACACTTGAATTTCGGACTGTTCATGTGATTTCTCATATGAAATCTTACCGCAAGTTTAGAGCCATAGATTTTTCGACACAAATAACATT